GGTGTTTTTTTGGGAGTTTTAGTTAAACGTTTCTGGGAAAGTAAAATAGGTAGGTTTTGAAAATTTGTACTTAGTAGTTACTCTGAAGGCCGAATCGATGTAAAATATTTTCAAAATGGCCGCACTTCCGGAAACACCGGAAGTAGATAGTAACTTCGTTATTTTAAATGGCAACCCCTATTTTTTATTGCATTTTTGGATTCTACGTGAAATTTCAATTCCATTGATACCCATATGTCGATATCTGCCATTTATGGTTTTAAGTTATTTTGACTTTAAGAAAAAAAAATGGCGGATGCAGACGGTACCTTGATTAATTGATTACTTGAAAACGGTTGTAATCATGGCAACCCATTTTTATCAGTGCATAGAGAATGAATAGGGCTTTCTTTTAGTGTACTTAAAAAAAAGTTAAGTTGCGTACAACCGCACCTATGGAGATCCAAATTTAAGAAACTTTAAAGTCTATAAACTCAGTTTTTTTTAAATGGAATGACCCTGTTCTTACTATTGCATGAGATAGAGAATCAAAATTGGCATATTTTGATATTACATGTTCCTATAGCTATCTTTAACAGTTTCTGACTTATTCCCATTTTATTGAATTGACACTATTTTTTTCGGATTTTCTTTTTAGTAGTCGGCGATCATTTTATAACAATCGAATTTTACTCCTAAGTACAAATTTTCAAAAACCTACCTATTTTACTTTCCCAGAAACGTTTAACTAAAGCTCCCAAAAAAACACCCTGTTTATACGTTCATTCAAGGCATCGTCAAATGAAATTTAAACCAGGTGTCAAATTCTTACAGAACAGCTTTCTATAACCACTCGAAAACTTCAGTCGTTATTTTTTTGTTTATTTTAACTTAATTTTACCACCCGCGCGTTAGTAAGGGAGGTATTGCAGTGGGGTAAAAAATGAACCCTCCCTTTTTTGACGGGAATACATGTTTTGAGGCACCAGGAATCCGAATCAAACAAAATCTTGATGATGTCGGTCTGTCTTTTGGTCTGTCTGTACTCTCATTTCCGGCAAAACGGCTAAACCGATTGGAACCAAATCTAGCACACATATTCATAGGCCTAAAAGGGCAGAATCGCGCATGCGCAGGTATACGGGTGGTATCTGTGCTAGCCACAGCAAATTTTTATAATATTTACTCCATCATGATCAGCACTGCATTATACAAGTATATCAAAGTTGTATTTTTTTAAATAGAAACCCCCTATATTATTGCATATTTCGATTACTGGGTCAATTTTAGTGTGACTTTATGTATTACACATGATATCTAGTTTAGCGTCATTTTTTCAAAAAATAGATGTCCAGTAAAAGTTGAATAACGAAGTTTCCATAAATCTTAGAAGGCTGTGACTCTGCAGTATATTACTAATTATCACGAGTACCTACATACGCCGAACGGTCAAAGTTAAACTTTTTTTGTGCTAAAAGAAATCACTACGTCAATTTCCAAAATTTCAATCAAAGGTAACTTGATTTTTTTTAATGGAACTACCAAGTTGTTTATTGCATCAAATGTAGGATTTGATTACCTTTCTAACGATATAAGCACGCCGTATTTACCTTCTACATATTATTTGTGCAATTCAGCAATTTCTAATAATACAGAAGGTTTTTCGATTTTCAAAGCCTCTCAGTAATTAGTAGGCCTTTAAAAGTTATAAGCACAAATTATAAAAAATTTTAGGTAATATATTTTATCCTATCCTAAAATTGACCAAGAAATCGAAATATGCAGTTATATACAGGGGGTTATATTTAAAGAAGTGCGACTTTGATCTAAATCACCCTGTATAAAAATTGCAATTTCGTTGAAAATATTTTTAGGTTGTAGCCTGAAGAGTCCTTCAATATGCCCTGACAATGAATTTTAAATATTCTTTTCAAATCCTAAGTATTAATAACCGCGTACTAAGCTGCTGTATTTTAAAGAATTTAATTTTTTTTTGTAATAAAACCAAATTTTTGGAGGTTAAACCAAGAAAAATAATCTCTTTCAAATAACTAAATAAAAAATTTAGCGGCTACTATGTATTTGAAAAAAAAAAGTTTATTTGTGAGAAAACCTAGCATAATTTGTGTAGGTTGTACACAGAAAAAGAAAGTCTTGCGAATAATTTAATCAAAATTTTGCGTTATTGCTATTTAAAAAAAATAGACTGACGGCACGGCGCTAAAAACTCATAGCAAAAAAAAAGTTTTTGACAGTTTTACATCGTTTATGCCTAATCTGCATTTGCAAAATCAAAGTAGGTAACTGTTTTGCCGACAAAAAATATTTACCAACGTACGTACATAGGTACATACGAGTTGTACATATATTGTTGCAGGTGCTCATTGTACATGAACCATATTACTTTAGTGTTTACTCATAAACCATTCCATTTTGGTTGCAACGATTTTTGTATGTTCTGGAATGTCTACAGACATGTACTTTCTTTTGGAGTTCATCTTTTAATTATTATCAATGAAATGAATTTAGCTGTAGTAGGTTCAATCGCTTTTTTGTATTTTGTAAAGAAAATTATAGGTGTTGAAAATAACTATACTCAAAAATCTGATTTCCCTATCCCATGGTGCTGCTGTAATCTTTTAAATACAATAGTAAGAGGGTTGAATTTACTTGAGCTCATGTTTAGGGACACGGTTTAATGATTTTGGAAGATGGTACGCATTATGAAGGCGAATTCAAAGGAATCGATAACATTAACGGTAAAGGAGTTTTAACGTTAAATTCTGGACATACAATCGAAGGTCACTTGAACGGTTCTCTATCGGACGGAATAAAAATTTCCAACGGTACCTTGAATTTAACTACACTTCCGTCCGCCGACTTACCCGTGAAACCAAACTCTTTCGGAAAGCTTTGCACTCCCGTAACGCAAAAGTGGAAGGCCCTGTTTCGACAGTGCTATCAAATGTTGGGAGTGTACGAGAATAACAGCAAAGTGAATAAGTTGCCCGACACGCAAAAACTGTGGCAGAACATTGCGGTTTTAATATCAAACTCGCATCAGGGAAGTTTGAAGAAGAGGAAAAGCGAGCGGAGTTTAGAGAATTCGTTAAATCAGCTGGATACGATACCTACATTTGGAAGAAATAGTATGGATGTTGCCAATTATATGGATGTTAAGCAGTATTTGGTTAAGGTGAGTTCACACAATTATTTGTTTAGTCGTGAGTCTGTGGATCATAGGCAACCATAATTTTTTTTAAATTTATTTATTTTCCCTCTCTTGTTCTGGGCCCCCAACAGGCTTGCGCCCAGTTACTCGCATACTGCTTTTTAAATTTTTAAATAATGTGAAGTTGTGTATATTAAGATTTTTTATTTTAAGGCTTTTGAAAGCCCCCACCACCCTTTAGGATCATTGCTGCTCGATGTGACGGTGGCTTACACAACAACTTACGGGGGTTTACACGCCCATCCCCTATTACTTACACATGCCGTTGAAGAACTCCACTCGATTACTAAACGAATATACGACATTGTAAAACTACTGTTTCCTGCATTACCGTCACATGAGAGAGACACTCCACCGGAAGACACTGAGGATAGGTATAAACCACTACATACACCTTTAATTACTTATGATCGAATTAGTTCCAGTGAGATAGTCGGTTACCAAAATCTGTTGTATCCATTAATTCTACCCAAAGTTCACCAACCACTGTTTATTTTATACACTTTACACAATAAATTGCAAGACTTGCAATACTGGAAAAGACTGACCGAGTGGAACAAACACTCGGATTATACACTGATGTCCTTTTTATCTGTCGATCAGTAAGTATCAAACTTAACGGACGATATTAAAAAAAATAGTAATTTAGAAAATTTCTAAACAACCACGCCCCGGACGGTTTATTGTCGTCGCCCGTGAAAGAGCAAACCTTTCTAGACGCCATTGAAACCCTGCAACTTCTCAAGACGACATTTTCGCCTATCGAAAAATTACTCATAATTCGCCAGACCTTTGAGAAAATGACACTAGTCGTACAGGATCAAATCGGACACGATTACAAGTGGAGCATGGACGACCTCTTCCCCGTGTTCCTATACGTTGTCGTAAGATCTAGAATTCTGCAGTTGGGATCGGAGATACATTTCATCGAAGACTTCATGATACCGAGCTTAGAAAACGGAGAACTCGGCATAATGTTCACAACTTTAAAGGTAACTCCGCCCACTCGCTCGCGCACTTATACTACATTATCAATTTCAGGCGTGCTATCAGCAAATATTGCAAGAGAAAACCTCTATTAGTTAATAAGTCCGTATTGCGAATTTTAGGTGTAGTTTACCAATTTTAGTTAAAGAGATGAAGTCGTAATTGTAAGTAGATATTTTTGTAAGACTGGCGAAACGAAGCATCAGTATTCAGTTTTTTTTTTTCGTATCTCCGTTCATATTGGACGATGAAAACGGCATATCAAATTTTGTGATTTTCAACATTCCTGTGTAGTTACTTTATTTTATTGTTAATTTTATGGCAAAGTTTAAATAAAGTTATAGTTACCTAATGCACATTTTATTATTATCTCTAGTATTTTGTTTTACAACCCAAAATCCATAACAAAAAACCTTTGAAATCTGTGGCACAGCCTGGAACACAAAGAGTAAACATAATTATCTTAAGATAGTAATTCTTACATCTTATCGCTCACCATGCGGGGAGTTTGACAAATTTTGCAGCAAGTTGCAGGCGGTACTAGACTCTCTATTTACATCAACTGTTCACTTCATTTTGCTGGGGGATATTAATGTTGATCCCGCTAGAGATAACGGTCTTTTTAGTAAAATAAGTCAGCTACTGATCTCTTATAATATGATAAGTATAGGGTTGCCATCTCAAAACTCTACCAACTGGGACAGGAAGCATGAAAACCCCGGATTTAGGGATTATATACCCGGACATATCACCTGAATTTGATAAAAAATATTTTCTAAAGAAATAAAACAACCAATTAATTTTTCTAAATAAAACAAGGCGTATGAAACATGAAACAACATTTGTTTAACTGTTAGGAATCAGCAACGGTTTATCTACATTTTTTTCTTTAAATGAAGCAATCATATACTTTTTTAACAAAATAAAATACAAGTTATAAGAACTAATAACAATAATTTTTAAATGAAACAAATATTTGGTCTTTTAGTAAAATAAAATGTTTACTTTTCAGGTCTTCGGTATTTATCCGTCGTTCCAATAGCTTCTTTACTTAAAAGAAATGTATAAAAATCTACACAATCATAATCTTTAAAATTGTACTTTATTTTTATCACTGACGAGACTGTTTCAATATTCAATAAATTCCTTTATTTTGCCCACTGTTGTGCCACTAGTGAAAATACTGTTTCAGCGTTGTCATTATGAGCAGGAATGCAAAACTAGTAGCGTCTCAACGAACGAGCGGACGGACAGACGGACGGACAAAGTGGTCACAATAGCGCATTTTTTTTTATTTTTGTGGAAATGCGCTAAAAAGTAGTGCGCAATTTTCAATAACTCCGAGTAGGTACCTCTAAATGAAATGAGCATTTGGTGTTTTAAAAATTGTTACCAAAGGTGATTTGCGCTTGAAAGATAGTACCAACCTCAAAACTTGGAGTACCATTGAAAACCCACCCGGACGCCGCCTAAACTAGGACAAATCCGGGGAAATCCGGATGGATGGCAACCCTAGATAAGTACCATAAACGCACCTACTAGGAAAGGTAAACTTTTAGACCATGTCTTCACAAGTGTTAGTTTAGGTAGTTAATGTTTTACAAAACTGCATTTCTGATCACAGTACCGTTCTCATAAAATCAAATATAGATGCTCCAAATCAAAGCGAAAAAATTCGGATTAGAAGGTATAATGAAAATCTCCGTAGAGAATTCTATAGTCAATTGGAAATAGAAGATTGGGTTCCAGTGTTAAGAGGATCGGATGTAGAGACTGCTTTTAATATATTTGGTAAGATAGTGTCTCATCACTTCAACAATGTCTTTCCTTATCTATATAAAAACAAAAACGCAAACGTTCTTAAAGGGTGGGTTAATGAGGACGTGAGGACGTCTAGTGCAAACTTGAAGTCATTCTATATGTTACATCATTACCTGTTTGTCGTAAATCTTACTGTTTGTTTGTCTGTTTACAATTTGACTTATCTTATCCATGTACCTAAATGGCTAAAAGATGAAATACATATATATTATTATAAGGAGAAAAGTTCAATTTTTAAGAAAAATAATTAAAAAGATTTAATAATAATATTTATTGGTGGTGTTTACACAGTAAATATTTCCACACGTCACAGTAGTGCATCATTGGGCTTTATTATAAGTGAGATTAATATTTCTTTTATTACCGTTGCTAGCTTGACATGACGAAGAGATTGTAGTTGCCTTTATCCTTATCTGCATCTTCATGTTTGTCTTGAGTGTGGGTGGTAAAAGGGCCGGACGACTACAAAGAAACGGTACAGTGCGCCCAAACATGATATTATCTAGGTGCGCGTGGCTATGAGGCCCTCATTTTCCTCTCTAAATCCAGAATAATATTGACACCACTAAGTAGGAAATATTGCACTCTGAGTTCAAATGCTCATCATCCCTGGATTATAATAATTAAAAGACACAGATCCCTCATAAAGATTCTTCTAAACTCTGCATACTTTTGTTGAATGAATAAGCGAATAATTTTAGAATTAGGGCAGTCGAGTAAGACAAAAATAGGTAATCAAGAACATCTGATAATTTATTGTGTTAACATATATGAGAATACCGTACCTAAACCAAGTTTTAAACTTCCAAAGACCTTTGGTAATTGAGTGTTTTTTTTTACTTTTTTCAGTTTCTTGTAAATATCTTGAGATTTATCGATTGCACGGAAAATATCCTGCCACGTCCTCTTAAACAATACCTATAACCTGAGCCAAAGAGCAGCTCTAAAGGGAACGGGCGATCAAAAATGAGTGGCAGTCAAGTCGCCTTTGGAAGTACGATTTTCCATGTAAACAAAAATTCCAAAGGTGACTTCACAGCAACTCATTTTTGATCGCATAGTATAACAGGTCCTATTTTTTCAAAAATTTCCCAAGCCCACTTTCAGTCATCTGTTTATTATAATAATATTGGCTCCTATACTCATCACCGGGCATATTTTCCAATATGAACTCATTTAGACAGGGACATATAGCGTAGCATTCCACATTCCTTTTGTCCAAGCTCCGATTAGGTCCCTTACGGACGAGTAGATTTCATTTTAGGTGGGGAGATTTGGTTTGGCGAACGAAACCACCAACCGGTACCTATTCTGCCTTGGGGATGGACCAGAAGTCGCCAGGGGCTGCTACCCATTAACCCACTGGGTTTTTCATTAGTGGGTTTTTTTCATTTTGAAATAATTAACAAGTAGTTTTTTGGCTTGGGCTGGTTTAAAATAAATTTATATGGCAAAAGTATATTTCAAATTATACACGAATCACTTTTAATTTTTAAAATACAAAAATAAAACAGATACTTCCATTTGAGATCGTTTAGTATCAGTTAACAATTCAAAACAGTTCAAAACTTGTATTCTTATTCTTACTCATAGTAAAATGTAAAAGTGAACCACCACAACACAACCACAATATTGGGGCGCCTTTTTTTTCATATTGTCGAACTGTTTAATTGCCATCGAAAAAATACTATTACCCACTTTTACCCGAAAAAAATCCACTTGGGCTCAGTGGGTTGGGGTTTTTAAAAAAACGGGTTTTTTCAAACCCTGGCTATCTCACTGTGGTTCGCCTACTAGGATCACCACAGATCAGGGACGAAAATTCGAATCCTCCTTATTTCATTGTTTCCGGCAGGAGTATTAGAAGCCGATATTCTAATTAGTGACAATTTTTGGAACTAATATTTAATATAAGAAGAAGAATGTTTATTGGACCTATTCAATTTACATTGTGCGTATAATTATATTTCACACATTAAAAATTACACCTGGGAGCTATGGAGCTACAGTGCTACTTGTGATCGCAAATTATAGGAAACTTTAATAACTTCTTTATAAATAATATTCAGTTATTTTTCGTATGACCACTACTCAGCTAGTACAGGTCTTTGGAAGTTGAAAGCTTTTATACTACTCTCATACATCCTAATAAAAATTAACCACCAATAACTCTTTTGGTCACCCTAAACATTGAATTCAATTTTTTATTCAATGCCCCAAATAAGGAGCAGATCTTGGGATAAATCTTCCAACATACCACCTGTGTATTGTGTGTTGCCTACCGGTCCATATACGCAGATTACTATTGTATATCTTTTAAAGGGATTTTGTGTTATTTCTACAGTTTGTGATTAATAAAAAACATAAAATTTCGATGATCCGAGCCCCACAATTTTTTCCAAGACTTGCAAATTGTTTTCGTCCCATTTGGCAACGGTGTATTCAAATCACGTGTTTTTTGAATTTCAAAAATGAAGTACGATTTTGAGATTTTAAAACGCGCCAAATATGCGTTGGGCGTGACAGAAAAGTCGCGCCCGGGATTCACAGCGTCAAACACGGATGAGTGTGCGGAAAATTCGCGAGTGACGTCGAAAAATGTGAAGAAAACTGTTGATTTACAGTTCGCGAGGTATTGATCCGATAGTGTCCTCATCGCGTGACGTACGAAATCACGCCACACATCCCTTCCAGTCGCGAGATGATTCCGATTGGCTAAAAGAGTCGATCCAAAAATACGGTGGCGTTTTGCGTTTGTATTTGTGTCGAGTGGAAGGTGTGCTTCAATCTTATCGTGTTGCAAGAGATAAATTTAGTGCGTGGAGTGATTGAAAATCGGTCGTGATAAGACAGTTCAAAGTTCCAAGACTGCACCATTTAGTATCTCGTGTAAGTAATTAATTATCTACAATTCGATCTCTTTTTAATTTCAATGATATCGGGCATTGCAATAATTTGGGGTAGGTTATGTTATTTAAACTGCAGAATTCGCGCTACGCTACGACCGTTTGTCATTCGACCTGTCAATTTGTAGGTTGACGTTTCGCGTCCTGTTTTCCGAAATCCACGTGGGCTGTGGACCGTCAGGTAAACGAACCTACATTGCAGTACTCCCGTTACTTTAACCTACTTGCCCCTTCGCCTATTTTCCATCCGTGTCTAAGTTACTTACTTCTAAAGGTACGTCCGCACGTCTTCCGGATGTTGCGTAATTTATCTAGTCTAGACCGATCTTCCTATGAGTTCAAAGTGCTGGCGGTCTTAATTGTACCCAATTTACATTGAATTGGTAAAAAATGAGCTTGGAGCAAAGGTTACGTGATAAGGATGATATAATTGGACGTTGTAGTAGGATGTCGTCAAGACACCCTCGCGTTATTTACGCCGATCGCATTAGCATTCGTAATCGAGTCGAACACGTTTCTAATTTAAATATAACCACTTTTCCTTCCTATTTATCCTCGTATCTATCTTATCCGGTAGTCGCGTCGTTAACGGTCACCAATTCCCAAGTAAAAGTTCAGGAAGGTACACATTTTCAATTGACGCGATTTATTATTGGCACCATTCTGAAGGGTACAGTCTAAGTAAGTGGGATGGAATGTTTTTTTTAGCATTCTAGATTTCGAGAGGCAACTATTTTGTTGGTTAGAACCGTTCACACTCCCACATCAAATACAACCAGAGCTGGGCAGAACACTTTCAAAAAGTATTTGAATACTAAATATTAAATACCTACTTTACACAAATCAAAGGTATTTGAATACTAAATACTTTTACGTCCAGCACAAGCGAATACTAGATACAGATACATTGAAAAGTATTCAAATACTTAAAAAAATAAGTTTTCAAATACTTTAGAGTGTATTCGAATACTTTCAAAAGTATTCTAATACTATCAAAGGTATTCGAATACTATAAAAAGTATTCGAATACTTTGAAAAGTATTTCATTATCTTACTTTGAAAAGTATTCGAATACAGTAAAAAGTATTCAAATACTTGTCACTCAAATACATTAAAAATTTAAAATAGTATACTAGATAAAAGGCTTAATACTACTTAAAAAATCAAGTTATACTTTGTATGGGGTTAGCTTTTTTTATATTTCTATTGTTATATACAAATTTAAGAGGAGTAAAAGCGTATTATTATTATTATATTATTATATAGGAGGTACCTACCAGGACCTTTCTTATACCAGTTATATCCTTAAGAATACGTGTACCAGTTTTCAAAGCGATCGTACGTCGTGCACACGATACGTACGCCTTTCTGAAATTAATCCTAGCGATTTTGGAACAGATCCATTTTTGACCATCCGTTTGTCCGTGTGCATGATACTTTGTTGGAAACGTGCGATCGCTTTGAAAATTGGTACACATGGTCTTAAGGATATAAGAAAGCTCCCAATTGTTTTTAAGTTACGTAGACTATCGAGGTCGGTATTCAGATGTATCGGATTTTTATATTACTAGATCAAAAGTTACAGCCCTTTGAATTTTTTTCCGAAATTAGTTTTTTGTCCATAACTTTTTATTGAGAGGTCTAATCAAAAACGTACGAATTGTTTTAGATTCTAAGCACCAAAATTAATAAGAAAAAGTGTTTTCCCGAGAAATTTTGGTGCAGTCGATTTTTGGAAAAAAAGGACGGTTATACACTGCCTTTTTTTGAGCCCCGAAGAGAAAATTGTCTCAGATCGACCCGGAAAAAAAATTTTCTTATAGAATGTGGCCTGTAGAATCCATAATTTCAAACAGTTCCAAGATTGGGCTACTAGTTAAAAAGTTACAGCCCTTTGAATTTTCTTTCGAAATTGGTTTCTAGTCTATAACTTTTGATTGAGAAGTCTGATCGAAAAAGTACGAATTGTTTTGGATTCTACGCACCACAATTAATAAGAAAAAGTGTTTTCCCGAGAAATTTTGGTGCAGTCGATTTTTGGTAAAAAAGGAAGGTTATACACTGCCTTTTTTTGAGCCCCGAAAAAAAATGGTCTCAGATCGACCCGGAAAAAAATTTTCTTATAGAATGTGGCCTGTAGAATCCATAATTTCAAACAGTTCCAAGATTGGGTTACTAGTTCAAAAGTTACAGCCCTTTGATTTTTCTTTTGAAATTGGTTTCTAGTCTATAACTTTTGATTGAGAAATCCGAGGAGAAATCTGATCGAAAAAGTAGGAATTGTTTTGTATTCTACGCACCAAAATTAATAAGAAAAATTGTTTTCCCGAGAAATTTTGGTGCAGTCGATTTTTGTAAAAAAGGAAGGGTATACACTGCCTTTTTTTTGAGGCCCGAAAAAAAAATTGTCTCAGATCGTCCCGGAAACAAATTTCCTTATAGAATGTGGCCTGTAGAATCCATAATTTCAAACAGTTCCAAGATTGGGTTACTAGTTCAAAAGTTACAGCCCTTTGAATATTCTTTTGAAATTGGTTTCTAGTCTATAACTTTTGATTGAGAAATCCGAGGAGAAATCTGATCGAAAAAGTAGGAATTGTTTTGTATTCTACGCACCAAAATTAATAAGAAAAATTGTTTTCCCGAGAAATTTTGGTGCAGTCGATTTTTGGAAAAAAGGAAGGTTATACACTGCCTTTTTTTGAGGCCCAAAAAAAATTGTCTCAGATCGACCCGGAAAAAAAATTTTCTTATCGAATGTGGCCTGTAGAATCCATAATTTCAAACAGTTCCTAGATTGGGCTACTAGATCAAAAGTTACAGCCCTTTGATCTTTCATTCGAAATTGGTTTCTAGTCCATAACTTTTGATTGAGAAGTCTAATCGAAAAAGTACGAATTGTTTTGTATTCTACGCAC